GATATCAAAAACGAAAACCTATATGAGCTATTCTCAAACAATGAAATATCACAAGCCCCCGGTGTTTAGCTGCGGATTTCGCGTGCTAGCATGAAAAAAAAAAAGAAAAAAAACCCCTCACCCTTCATATTTGCCATGAACGTGAAAAATTTTTAGCACAGAGAAAATAACGAGAAAATTGCTTGTAGAAGTGTTTTTGAAATTAAAATATGATTGAGACGGCAGTAGATCTTCGAAAATGCAAAGTATCGGAATTCATAACAAATCAACCGACCTGAAAATTTCATGATATTACGGATCTGGTAAATTCATGAAATAACCGGGTCCAGAAGGATGAAAAACTAAAGGGTCAGATGCAAAAAGCCATGATGGTCTCTTCAAAAGCGGCGACTTTAGTGGGCTGATATACAAATAAAATCAAAATTTTAAGCATGAAGAAATTCATGCTGAACGTTGCGATAAAAAAAAAAAGTGATTTATTGATTTTTAGCGGACTTCTTTTCGATATGGCCATTTCAAGAGAATAATTTTTTTAACTTCTAAGTGTATCATTGCATAAATTTTTAAAAAAATCGACCGTTTTTATCGTTTTCATTGCGGAGAAACATTATGACCTGTCCTAGAAATCTAGAAAAAAATTTCAAAGCTAGGAAAAAATTTCAAAGTTTTTCAAAAAAAATTTCAAAAAATTTCAAAGGAAAAAATTTCAAAAAGACCCGAAAATTATAAAATTTCCTTCCGCTGCGATCCGAGAACTTCTAAAAAAACCGATCGGTTTTATCACTTTCGTTGCGGAGAAGCAAACATTATTACCACATTGACGTGTACTTGAAATCCACGAAAAATTTTCAAAAATAGACTCAAAAGTTACAAGATTTTGCTCCGCTACTGTGTGTATTTTCCGTTTATTATTCATTGGAAGAGGTTAAAATTATAAAAAAAGATATTATGACTTAACTAAATTGCATAACTGATTGCTTATAACCCAAACCAAAGAATGAATTGGTCAAAAAAAGGCCAAAAAGAATCAAAATAGTTAATTCACGAGCTAACCCTTCTCATTTTTTCCCTTATCGTTTTTATCAATAGCGTTGTTTGAAAAATCAGCTGATTTGCCGAAATTGATACCTGCAAAAGACGACAAAAATATTGGCCTCACACATGTTCCCAGAAGAGATAACATTCAGTTTCAGATGAAATAAGGCTTTGAAAAGCGTAAAAAGTGCACCTGCGTTGCATTCTGGTCTCTAAAATACTCTTTCAGAGTGTTGCTAAATCGTTTCGAGTAATGCACGAATTCTCGTTTTCGCTTTTCAACAGCTGAAAATAGGCACATTCAGCCAAAAAAAAAGTGCAAAAGAAAGGCAACCAAAGCATGAAACTTTACCAAATTTTGAAATTTTCGTCCAGGAAATTTTTAATTTTAAAAAAGCAGCACATGCAGCCAAAAATGATGCAAAAGAAAGAAGCCGGAAGCAAAAAAACTTTATCAAATCTTGAAATTTTCGTTCCGGAAAATTTTTAATTTTAAAAAAAGCAGTATATACAGCCAAAAAATAATGCAGGAAAAGGACGCCAGAAGCAAAAAAACTTTATCAAATCTTGAAATTTTCGTCCAGGAAAAGTTTCAATTACAAAAAAAAAAAAAAAAATATATGAAAGTGCATTAAAACTGAACATACAGAGTTGAGCGCTCGGATGGACTACTTGCATAACTGCATTTGTGGCATCCAAAAGTTTTTTGATTGAAGAAGCAATTTCTTTGATTGTCTCAAGGAATGTGCGTCGATCGGACATCTCCTCCGGCACCCGTGCCAATACCCGCCGCAGTGCAATTGCTCTGATTTTAAAGAAAAATACTTTAAAGGTTGAAGAGAAAATAATGAAACACAAAAAAAAATGAAGTGAAGAAAACGAAGAAAAAGCGAAGTAGGAAGGGGAAAATGGGACTATGGAAATATTTGTAACAGGTAAAAAATGTTTCGATCCATTAAGTCGTATACATTTCTTACCGTTACCACAATTGGACCTCGTCAGTACG